CCACACACACACACAAAGAGAAGGAGGGTTGGTAGTGTGCGTGTTTGTGTGTCTTGAACCTCCCACCATTCCTCACATTTCAGTCACGGTAATTAAAACACATCGGGATTGTATCCCATTCCCATGGGTAAAGGCAATAGTTAGTAATATCACGGAACACACACACACATCACCAGGAGGACAAAGTAAACGGCGGCAACACAGAGCCCAGACAAAGCCTACAAACAAACAAAGAGGACACTTCCCTTACAAAATGATGGTTTGTCATGTGATGAGTGCCATAGGGAGTCCAATAGATGTGTTTAGCATAAAAAAATGCAAATAAGAGATTTATCGTGTTGAAAAAAGAAGTAACATTAAAATTCAATAAAAAGAGCAGTGCCCTTACAATGCATCCATGTCCACTCAAACAAAGGTTAACTGTGCAACTGTGTCATGGGAACACCGCTTAGCAAACGAGAGTGCAACCCAACACACACAACAAAAGCAGCAGTATGGGACCGTGCATCAATGCAGGACTGCTGCCATCTCTCTTGTTTTTCTTGGCTTTTTCTTTGACCAACCTCTCCGCCTCCAGTCTCGCCTTTTCAGCTGCCCGTTTCGCCTTTTCCTCCTCAGCCAGCTTTTCCTGTTTCTTTCTTTCCTCTTCGGCCAACTTCTCCTGTTTCTTTCTTTCTTCTTCGGCCAGTTTCTCCCGTCTCTTTCTTTCTTCTTCGGCCAGTTTCTCCCGTCTCTTTCTTTCTTCTTCGGCCAGTTTCTCCTGTCTCTTCCTTTCTTCAGCGATCCTCCTCTCATTTTCTTCCCGGATTAATTTCTCCGCCAAAAGCCTAGCTGCCTCCATCTCCGCTTCTTTCAGTTCCTTTTTTATTTCCGCCATGGCCACCCCCTTCCTTTTCTCTTCAAAATCCCTCTTCTTCTTCCTCTCAGGATACAATTCATCATCCCTCGCAACTGCATCTTCATAGCTTCGCGCACCACTCATCAGCACTCCTGGCGCCGGTTCGACGATCGAACTGCTTATCGCGGCTGTCTCATTCAATAACTTCGCCGTCTCGTTGACGTCCGTCTGAAACTCGTGAAACCCATCGACTCTCGTGCGCTCCACCCCTTCTGCACCCACCTTTTTGACCTGGGCCACGATCTTCTCGAGTTTCTTTAGCGTGTCCTGCAACATCCGGTCCGCATCCCTCATCTCTGTTTCGGCCTCCCTCTTGATCCCCTGCCCCCTTCCAAGAGCCAACCCCACTTCCTGCGTGAGCCAAAACAATTCTCCACCCGTCGCGGTGGCGTTCTTTATGAGATTTAATCTCTCAGGCGTGCTATGTTCGTCCATAAAACTCTCAAGACCATCTCGGCTAGCATTGAGTTTCGGCACCACATCACTTAAATCGCCAAATGATGCCCAACAAGCCGTTAGCGCGTATTTTTTCTTTTGAAGCATAGCGGTTTCTTTTTCCAGCGCCTCTTTACTTTCCGTAATGTGCTTCTTGGCCTCCTCCGCCACACCCCTCAGTTCTTTGATTTTTTCCACTGGTATAGGTTGTTCAATCACCTTATCCTTTACTTCCAGTTTGTTTTCGAGAGCGTCGACAGCATTTTTTGTTTTCTCCGCGGCTTTTTTGGCGTTATCTTTATGCTTTTCACATACCGCCGTCTCGTTCTTCAACACCGCCACACAACTTTTACCCGCCAGATACAGACCGTATGCCTGGTTCACCAACTCCTGCAACCGCCGCTCCGCAATCCCTGCTTCTTGCTTGATAGTAGTTTCTGGCGCAACGGTATTTTTGCTGGTGTCCCCCATGCCATCGGCGCTCACCACGCACGCACAACATTGCAGGAGTACCAACAGGTACACCACGCGGCGCAGTTGGATGGACATCGTTGCCATGATTATCACCGTGGGTTGTTTGGATCTGTGGTAACAAGGAAGAAGAGAAAGAGGAGAAAAGTAGACGCACATTTAACACCCATAGGATAGAGTACACAGCAACACAGAAAGAGTGAAAGATGGAGAGAATACACATCACAACAGCAATCAAACACAACCCAATGAGGGGAACAACAGTAAACCACTCACACGCAATAAAACACACCCAGAGTTACACAGATATTGAAACAACACCCTGAATTTAGAAGAAGTGGAAAACAAATGGTATCAAAACAATATTGAATAAATGACTCTACACACACTCCAATATCTTACTCGGCATTCATACACACAATGTGTCTCTGTATTCTCATTATAATAAAATCATTACCAGGCAGTTTGAACACCAAAATACACCAAAAACACAGTTTGTACGCCTGGCAACATACAAGAACAATACCACAAATCAATCAGCAAAACAAAGAGACTGTACAATAATCAACACACTTCCAAACAGAAAAAAAGAAAAAAAACCAATGCATTACCATAATATTTATACCAACACCACAATTGGAATTTAAAACCCACTCACCCACAACCATAACAAAAATGACTGCATACATCACTGTAATACCATGCCACTCTTTACAAACAGAGGCAACACACAATTACTCTCTCACACACATATTACATCTTTATTTATCCTTATTACTATTATTTTATTTTTCCCTCAGAATGCCAATTCACTTCCTCTTCTCCCACAGCATTATCAGCAAATAAAAAAAAAAAAACTCACCCACTCAAACACACACGTCCCTTACCCTATGGTGTGTATTAGGAGAGTAATATCAAACATATCCCCTTCCACCCCAACCCAAAAAGGACTCCATACCACATCACCACGTTTTTCTTTCTGTTCTTCGTGTATTTTATGGATGTTACTCCAATGGAACGGGTATCAGCCGTACACCGTAGAGCACCTAGTTACCGACTTACGAGTGGCTCTGAAGAAGAAGATCCCTTCATTTTATAGGATCCTCAAGCTCTTGTAATATGATTTTTGGTTGTGGCCCGTTCCCACACGAGAGAACCAGTCTACGAGAAATCTGATCGAGTAAACCCCACCAGATCTCTCTACTCTCACTGTTCTTACCCAAAACCCGTCCTCAAGTCTCCTTTTGGTATTAATTTTTTTTTATTTTTGGGTTTTTATAATAGATTGGCCTCAATGAATTCCTATTTATATTGTTGTTTGTTTTGGTCAGTGACAGACGTCTTGAGCGTACTCTTCTATCAGGGTTTCCATGTTTGAGCTCGTCGCTGATTTTAGAGAGGTGGGGAGGCCTTACAGAGGGGGAGGTAGGCTGTGTAGGGATTCCTGGGTGTGAAGTCTGTGGCATAGCGTAGTTCCGCTCCACCGCAATAAGGAACTGTGCTAACCGCTTAGAAAAACATAGTTTCTTCAGGGGAACATCATCAACTATCGCAAATTGAACTCGCAGTGGATGAAGAGCGG